CAGCACACATCATGAATCAGCGTGTGCAAGAACTACCTCAGAGGTCGCCCCTGCCACCATGGACGCAACTGTGTATATATCGCTACCCACCTTGCACTCGTGCACAGGCCCATCTCACTGCAACGAATGATAATATACAATCCCTAAATGATGTGGAACAGGATTTTCGCTTCAGGCAGGATGAGATGTGATGCCTTGTTCGCCGTGCCCCTATGTAAGCCATCACACCTTCAACTTTCAAGGACTCGCTCACCATTCACCGCTCGTCCAGTCCACCTTCAACTTCAGGGACATCACCTTCTCTGGCGTCGCAACGCTACACTCTGGATGCTCCACCTGCATCGTACCAATATCTCAGTTACCCAGAGAAGCCAAGAAACTCATGACCCGCTCCGACGTCATAGTAAAAGGAATCAACGGCAGCACCACTGCCCTCGGCGAACTGACTTGCGACATCACCATCGGCAGTCGAGACTCACCCACATTCAAAAAGGTTAACGTGCTGGTAACTACCCAAACCACACTGATCCTGATCGGCCAAAATATCCTATGTCACAACACGCTCGATTCCTATCTAATCGACAACCAAAATGCGACTATAGAATTCAGACACACACTTTCCTCAGGATACACAACACACACAGCCGCAATCATATCACCATCAATCAATGATCCAGCATATGGCGCCCAAGCTGACATCATCCAAAACCAGCCTACTATGGAATTACAGCCCAACATCCAGACACTGGATCAAAAGCTAACCTGGCTAAAGCATAACACGGGGCTATCGCTACCAAACCACCTGAACCGAGATGAACTAGAGGCCACTGCAAACTTACTAATTCGCTACGCTGACATTATCGGCACCAAAAGCAGCAGCAAAGGCACATTCATCCGACCCATCCGTATACCAACCAACGGCCAGTCTCGCAGCCAGAAACAACACCCAATAGCCCAGGCTTTGGAAGCAGACATAGATACCGAAATTAAGTGTATGGCTGATGAAGGTATCATTGAAAACTGCAGCGACCCCAAAGGCTTCAATAGCCCTGTATTTGCTGTACGCAAGAAAAACAGATCGAAAAATGCCGACAGAACCTTAAAAAAAATCAAGGATCATCTCTCTTCGCCACCTGTCATCTCGTTTCCAGATTTCTCCAAACTTTTCACACTCAACACCGACGCCAGTGGAGCAATCTTAATGCAAGAAGCCAACAACGGGAAGAAAGATATCATAGCGGTCGCTTCCCATACATTCAACTCCACGGAACAGAACTGGTCCACGACAGAACAAGAGGCATATGCAATAAAGTGGGCAATATTGAAATTTGATTATTTCCTTCACAATCGCCCCTTCGTCATCTTCACCGACCACAGATTGCTGACATATCTGGACCAACGAGAGTTCAATAATGCCAAAATACGATGATGGCAAGAAGAAATTTCATGTTATAAATTTGTCTTGGAATATGTTGAAGACGAATCAAATGTATGGGCTGACATGCTCAGCAGAGGTTGCGGACATAAGAAAAATATAAAGCCCGAACGACCCTACACTGGCAGGCAGGACATTTGAGGTAAGCGTTCAGACCTCCACGATACATCCCATCTTGGTGCCTCAGCGAGTTTAACGGTTTACAGCTCATTCCCAAAACTCACACACCACAAAACACCTGCACCCACAAGCGCGTCACCAACACATTCTTCGCCAATCACTCCACCACCACCATCCCCACTGAGAGAATCTGCAACCACCTTGGCATCGCAGATGAACAACAGAAGGACGACGCCCTGGCAAAGATCATCAACGCCCTCCAGTCACCCACTCCAAGCGAACCTCATATTGATCCTGACGACCACCGAGCGACGCTTTTCAAAAAACATTTGCACCAATTTTTTCTAGAACCAGGCACCTCCGTTTTGATGATAAGAGACAGTAAACACTCTCCGAGATTGGTTGTACCATACAAACTACAATCCAGATACCTCTACCAGGCCCACGAGGGTAACAACCACTCAGGTGTTACCCGTATGTGAGAACTCCTTTCCAGCTACTGGTGGGATTCAAAACCGCGACATCAAGGCCTATGTCGATTCTTGCACACGTGTAAAAGTGCAAGGGCAACTACGGTAGACATACCCACTGGCCCATTGGCCACTGCAAACGAGGAAAGAGACCATTCAATCTCGTCTTTATAGACTTTGTCACAATGCCGAACTCAAAGGGAAAACGCTACATCCTAACCATCTTGGATAGCTTCAGCCGACATTTTACAGCCATACCATGCGCAAGAGACTGTGCTAACGACGCCGCCTGCGGGTTGTACCATTTCTTCCTTCGACACAGAGAGATTCCACGCATAGTATCCTCTGATCGAGGCACACACTTCACTGGAGAAGTATATCGACAATTCTGTAACCAGATGTCAATCACGCAAGAACTTCACTGTCCTTGTGCCCGCAAAGCTCAGGAAATATCGAGAGACAACATCGCATGATGAAGAACGCACTTCATATGTTATGTGAAGACAGGAACTGTGAATGGACAGACGTTCTAGAATCTGTCGTTTCGTCCATGAATGCCATAACCAACAGCACCACCGGTGTCTCCCCGCACTATGCCATTACCGGCCGTCACCCCAACATCGGCCTACCTACACTACACAGAAAAGAAATCACAAGCGACGATCCTGGAGCATATGAAATGCAAATTAATGCCCTGCTAAAGCAGGTTCACCACCACGTCACCTTAGCCAACGATGAAGCTGACCACAAACTTGAGACTAACTTAAATTGCCTCACATACAAGGACCCAATACAAGTAGGCGACAAGGTTTTACTTCATCGGCCACACTCAAATGTTGCCCAATCCTCGATGCCCTGGATAGGAAATTATACCATTATAAAAACAAACAATATGATGTGTCAGGTGCAAAATGGTGATACAATCTGGATTCACCGTGCACATATCCGACGACTGGCTCCACGCCCAACACATCTTTCTAATACAATCCCTCTGCCTCCACCATGTAACAGTCACCAGGATCATTCTCCTCCACATCCCTTGGGGACACATAATTCAGCAAATAACTCCATACCAAAACAAATGCCAATAAGAAGAACACGAGGACAACTTCCCACATGCTTCAGAGACTTTATCATGACTTAATCACCCAAATATACACGAATAACACTCACTGTAAATCAGACCAAGATCTGGGGGAGCCTTGTTATAAAATAAAATAAGACATATCTCGGCTGATTTACAGGCAAATACTCAAGAGTGAGAACCGGATGTGAATGGGACAAAACCCTGTCACAAAATGACCATTATCTTCATTTACAAATGTTCCCGACACACGTGTTCCGGTCGAAAAATAAAATAATATTTAAAGTGTTCTATTTTTCGGCCAATAAAAATGCTTCCCTCCTAATTATACTCGCTTCGTTTTTCGAGCCTGTTAAGCCATAAAAAAACGCTATAAAAGGGGTCACACGGAAGTTCAACAGGCAGTCTACAGGTGCCCAGGGTAGAGACCTGTCACGGTCAGCAGCTGACAGCAGGAGAGCATCAACTACTGTCAACATGTGTGAACTACTATGAGAGATCGACCTAGATCCGAAGCCGGCTTGTGAACTGTACTACAAGGTAGCTGTCCCAAACCCACACGTTCCTGTTGAAATAAACCATATAAATCTATTTCTGCTGTTGTCGTATTTCTTTCTTGCAACCATATGCTTGTCTATAACAATGTGTTCATCATTATAATTTCAGTGACATTTGTTCAGAGAAAATTTTATATCCAAACATTAATTCGGATTTATTTGGATACAAATGATAAGGAAAAATTAATTATTAGTTTGAAGTGACCTTTTTTGGCTGTGGTGTCTGGTTGACTGTAAAAAAAATGCATAGACAGAGAAAAGATAAACTTTTGTTTTAAGGAGAGTAGAAATAATTTTTCTTTCCTTTTCCAATTCTTCAGTGGTCTGGAGGATCGAGAGATCCCAGCATGGCAAGCTGATAGAGAATGAAAATCACTTTTGTTTTTGCTGCACCATCTGGAAGTTGGATTTGTTACACCAGCCCTAGGAGTGGGCTGCTGAGAAAGTGGGAGAAGGTTGATGGAGAGATTAGTACTGCATATATGATGTGAGGTGAAGCATGAAGAAAGTGGGAATTAAGGGGTGGCTTGTTCTCTCTGACCACTCTCAAAAGTGGGCTGGACATCTCCAAATTTGGAAAATCACTTGAGTAAATGTATTTTTATATATGGAAATTTAGAAAAGGTTGATGCTTAGGGTAAGAAGACAACTGAACCCAGACCCTGGTCAACCCCACCCCTGCTAAATGCAGACTTCCATATAAGCTGGAGATTTTGGGCAGCACAGAGGGAAAGAGAGAATCCTCACACTACTGCTACTAGAATCCACATTGTTCGCCAAGACCTCCTGACCAAGACCTTGTGCCAACCTTGAAGACCAGAAGTTAGAAATTTACTACTAAAATAAGCTGCAAACTCTAAAGAGGATCACAGAGTCATTTGATTATAGCAACAAGTGGGAAGAGATAAAACCACTGTATGCATCAAATCCTATATATAAACTAAATCATTGTTACGTCTTTAACCAGAGTTAATTCTTTATTTGAAAGGATTCTTGTTTTTTGTATGGCTCCATCTGTCTGACCAGTCCCCATTCTGCTTCTTCAGTGGTCTTCTCACTCTCTGAGATCAAAAATACAATGTGGCAGATGAGTGAATGGTCATGAACAGACAAACCCCAGCTAAGTTGAGTGGAACTGTGCCACGATCATGATACCAGCAACAAAACAAGTCACGGACTAATGAGTAAAGGGTCAGCTAAATGGTAACCACAGTGGTCTGAAGGAACTTGAGAACTGACAATTTGGGGGTTACAATATCTCTTCTACTTAATTTATACAAATAGGTACAACTCTATTTAACAATCTACTACAATTTATAAAAGAAATATTTTACCAGAATGTTGTTGCATGTTATCAAATCGACACTTCCAATTCAATTTTACATGCACTTTTCTTCCTATGGCAAGTTCTGTATCAATAAAATTCAAAACTTCTAGTCCTTTGCGAGAAATATGTTGGACAATAATATCATCAATCTGAAAATAAAAATATAAAAATTAAAGCACTTGTTTATATAGTCATATATTTAAAAAAAATGAAAACGGTTTTCTATTTCAAAATGAAAATTGATAAAAACTAAAATATATAGTGTCCTCATTTTTAAATAAAAAATAATAGCGCATGGTATTTATTAAAAATATTTTTTAAAACAAGTAATTTAAATTTTCTAGATTTAGTTTTAATTTTAGCACAATTTATTATAATTACATTTTGTTTATTTTAAATATGAAGCAAATATTGAAAATAAAAACAAAAAAAAAATATTAACCAACATAGAGAATATTAAATTGTTAAATTTGTTTAATAAAGTAACAAAAACTCCTATAATAATTTGAATACCATACTTGCTTGAAATATTCTAAAAAAGGACTAATTTTAATTGACTAGACTTATAAAATATTAAAAGTTAAATTTGATAGTGTAATTTACAATTCTTAATATTTCTACTATTTATTTATTTTTGGTGAACAGGATATAAAATATATCCTGTTAAAAAATAAAGAATTGTAAATTACAGTATTAGATTTAACTTTTAGTATTTTATAACCAGTTAAAAAATAGGAACATGAAAAAAAAAACTGTCTTCCAAAGATCTGTTTGGAGAACTAGTTTCTGGTCAATAAAAGTAGGACCCACCACCCCAAAAAAGAAGGACTTCTTAAAAAGGACCCTCATCTCCTGTAGAATTAAGTGCTGCCAACAGACTGCTAACAGAGAAGAATGGCAACATGTAGTCTACCATAACTGTAAACAAAATTTCAAAATTTTATACACGAGTATGCTGGAAAACTTAATGAGCCACATAGCCAAGCTTATAATCGAAAGCTTGATGAATAAAGTACAAAGCAGAATCAAACTGGAAATAGGATAAGAAAAGTGTGGTTTTGTCAAGAATAGAGGAAAAAGAAATGCTATATTTATGCTCAGAATGTTTTTGGAGAAAAAATACAAGTGCAGAAGGATGTATACTTACGTTTTATAGATTATACAAATCATTTGATAAGTTATAGCACAAAGATATGTTGAACTGCTAGGAAAACATGTTTTATTTGGGAAGAATGTTAGAATAATCCAGAACTTACACTGGGGTCAAATTGCCTACATTTGGAGAGAAAATGAATTGAGTGAATACACCAAAATAGAAAGGTACATAAGTCAAAGATGTGTCTTCTCAGATTTATTCAACCTTTATATCAACACTAGTCTAATGGAGCTGGAGATCATACTAACATTTATTTATGTTGAGTACAGTCTTAACAATATATTATACATAGATGACATTGTGTTGATGGCAGACACAGAAAGAAAATTACAGGACCTCCCAGACAAGCTAGTAAAGGAAAAATGGGAAGAAAGGATTAATCATCAATTGTAAGGAGACAGAATAAATTGCTTGTCAGCAAGAGAGAAAAAGGTGTAAGTTATAAATTGGGAATGTCAAAATTAAACAAGTACAGAAGTTTAAATATCTGAGAAGTGTTTTAACAAATGATGGAAAACATGACACTGTAATCTGAAGGAACATTGAAATAGCAAAAGATGTCTTCCAAAAACTCGAGAGCTACCCAGTCTTCACTTTCCATTCTCAACAGAGTCCAAAAGTGTCTTTGCATCCTTGTTGGTGACAAATTATTTTCCACTCTGCAATCTGTTTCTCATAGTCGAGACATCACAAAGCTTTCACTTCTCTGTCACTATTTCAATGGTGAGTGTTTAGATCAAGTACACCCAATCCTAACCTTCATAGCTAAGACCTGCCATGCCATGCACATTGTAGCAAACCACTCTCATTCCTTTCATATCCCCCTAGTGTGATGAAAGTTCCACTCGAGCAGCTTCTTCCCACAAACCGTTGCCTTGAATCAGTTTCTTTGGGCATCAGCTCAGAATGAAGATCAGAACTGATTCGGCAGATTTCAGCAGAAAGTTTGTAAAAGCAGTGAGCTTGGTTCATGTGAACGGGGCCATAAACAAAGACACAATGGGGCATATTTCTGATGGACAATGTCCCTATTTACGCTAAACTGTTTTTGTTCACCTACTTAATGTGCGTGAGTGTCGTTCTCGGCAATCTCTTTATTTCATGATCCTTGTCAAGATTTCCAACCTCCCCAGTTTGTTTTTACACCTGACTCAATCCTTTTTATCATAACTGAATCCGCCTTTGATATTTTCCTACTCTGTAATTTATTTTCTAACTCCCCTGCCTTTAATGAGAGAGCTTCTTGATTCTACAGAATACAGCAGCTGCTCTTATTTTTATGTGGAGTGGATGTGTCTTATACACAATTTTGTTTTAGTTTGAATGTTTTGCTTAATTTTATTTTCATTATTGTGTTCATCCTCTCCTCCCACCCTCATTCCCTGATAAATTTATTTATTTTTTATAGAAAATTGAAAAGGAAAAAAGAAAGAAAAAAGAGACAATTGTACATATTGCAAAATTTTTATGTCATGGGAGTTTTAGTAGGATCCCTGTAAATATGTAGTATTGTGGTATATTTTGAGTGAATGAGTTATTGTGGTGATTAAGTCAATTGTAAGAATGAATGGTTGTGGATCAGATTAGCTAGGTTTAGGATATTCAGTGACGACCATCCTTCCCCATCTCCCCTATGGCCTTGTGCCACAAACATGTATTTTCATGTTAAATAAAGATTATCCATGGACACAATACCTAGGATCAAAGTGTAGTAACTGTTTCAGCAGCAAATGATACATATCTAATGTAATTCACTAAATTGTATGATCATGCTTTAAAGGATCATATGAACGGATTATTTCTTTAAGGATTATTTAACAACTCTTGGGCATTACCAATTATGATTGGAATATCCTGTTTTCATAAAACTTAATTACATTTTGTGTTACATGTTTGTCCCTATTGCCACTTTTTATTTGCTGTTCTCTACCCAGTTGAACTTTTGTTGCTTATTGTGCATGCTGTGGGATGGCCCTGACCACCATGCTGGAGTCCCCACACCAACAGCCAACTCCATTGCCTTCAGCCTGGGCCTCTAATAGGCCAAAAAAAAAAAAAAAGAAAAAAAAGGAACCTGAAGAATACACAGCACTAATAGAAAACTCCAGCTTGCCATTGGCAGCTGCTCCAGCCAGCCATTTTCCAGATCCAGCCAGTCATCCCTGTCTGGAGCATGTGATATACTGTCTTCTTCAGGACAATACTCTTCAATGCTCTTCTTGCCCTATCAACATAGAGGTACTACTTTTTGCCTAGTGCACTTTAACCTTATTTTTGTTAATGTATTTTCTTTAACAAAAATAAACTTGACTATATAATTTTTTACTCTAGTCTTCATTTTGTTTGTTGTTGTCTTCTGTCATTCAATATCTGTTTGCAGGCCAATATGCCACATGCAATACTGTTTTTGGTTGAATTTATAAAATCCCTCTCTTAAAGCACTTTTTTAGGAAAACATCATTGATTATGTCATTATTTTCTCTTCAAGTTACATGTGCTATCCATTTTAGTTGTTGTTGCTGTTGGCAGTCGTCAAGTGATCCCATTTCTGTTATTTGGTACAGTTCTTTATGATTCTGTAGTGCCAGTTCACAATGTTCAAAGAAGGATGATCTTTGCCACTCACTTTATTCACTCAAAGCCCTTTTTCACCATTGATCTTAGGAAGTGGTTGTATACAGCTGACAGTTTAGATATTTCTGAATAGGTTTAGTGCCATGCATGACATATGTATGAAAGTCTCAACTTCACAAAGCTATTTAAGAACTTGACTTGAGTTTTCAGGTTGATGTTTTGGTTTCATAGAAATTTGTGGTGCTGGGCAAAACTACCTCTGACTTAACCTATTCTATGTTCAATTTCTTTTTCTCCAATACTTAATTTGTCATAGTTGATCTTTATGCCAAATGCCAAAGTGTTTGATGTGTTTAGTATTTAGTAATTCTGGATTAGGTGGCATCACTATTTCATTCCAGTTCTAGATCATAGTTTCTGTTTTGGAAAGGTTTATCTTTAGTCCCGTTTCTTGGAACATTTGATAGAGAATGCTGATTTTCTGTCAAGATCATTCTTATCCCAAGTATGAACACCTATGTCATCAGCATAGCCCACCTCATCATTAGTACATTGGCCATGAGAGGGAAAGTAGAATGATTGTCTTCTATTAGTAGACTTGTTTGGGATGTGGCATAGAATGTTTAAATTGTCAGTACCCATCTGATCACATCTGTGTTTGTAAATGTGTAGGGCATAGTCTAGGAAGCGATTAAATAAACTGGGGATCTCATTTCCTCCTTGTCAAACTTCTGATGAGGGAAATGTTTCTGTATTGGGGGTCTTCGCTTGTGTGAATCAATAGAGTTCCTCTATTAGATCAATACATTCAGTGGATTTGGAGCTTGTAAGGTAGTTTCTAAATGATGAGAAGAGGAAGTCTCATTGATATGTTCATATGCTGCTGCAAGGTTGTCAAACCATGTATGCAGTTTCCTATTAGATATGTAAGCAATTTCTTGGAGTTGTTTGATGGCATATATGCCCGTGTTGCCTCCCTTTCCAGATACAGCATCAGAAAAAAGATGAATGCAAATTGAAGAAAGGAAAAAAACATTAATCCTTCATTTGTAGATTTTAAGTTGCACACATAATGAATAATATTCTACTATTCATGTAGCAAAAAAAAGAAATAATTTAGGCTATAGGAGGCAGGCTAAATGAGCTTAACTGTACTGTTAAGGTAAGTCAAAGATACCATGAGAATGTAGGCCTATCAAGTAGGTTATGATCATTGAAAATGCATGAATTTTAACTCCTCCAGAAAAATTGACCTGTGTATAGTGCAATGGTCACCAAAAATGCATGACTTTTTAAAAAAATTACATTTGTATAGTATGGACCATTATTTTTTGCATAAAAAACTGATCATAAAAGTGAGATTTTATGATCTGTTTTTTTTACTCTACTTGAGTATATATGATATTTGAAATTGAATTTCTATCTTAATAGATTTCAAAACAGAACTTTGGCAAGAAAATATACAAACAACTTCATTTGCTTTGCACTGAATCCATTCATACATGTCATCTAATACAAAAAAATACACAAACATTACAAAAAGTCTTGATAGTGATATATAAAGTATTACATGTTTAAATTTCTATGAAATTATATTTTCTTTTAGTTAATGATGCAGAAAAATATTACTACTCACTGTTCCAGAATCACTTGGCTGAAAAAGAAAAATAGAATTTTGTATTACAAAGAGTGAGTCCATTTACATGTACATTCATAATAGTTATTTCATTTGGAATATAAATATAAAAAATATATACAGTAAGTCTATCTACGACTATACTTGGATATATTAATGTAGGGATAAGTTAATTTTTATAAGATGTATTTGCTTGGTAAAAGAAATTATGCTTCTAAGACATTCTCTATTTGAAGGTGAGTTCTTAATTTTTACTGACTGTATTAGGTTTCACATTCTCAACTATGAACAGGCATTTTTAATACATGAAAATATTTTTAAGACAGATATATAAATTCAGTAGATGTAATTTTTTTACATCTCTTTTTACATCCCATTTTATCATTTGATACAAATATTAATATATAAGTATGAATATTGTAGGAAATTATATAGAAAAAAAGCTAATATTACAGTCTAAGATGATAGAATTGGGTCTTTCAAACTGAGAGATTAGTATGGGGGTTAGGAAGTTATCAGTTATGAATGAGTTGCTTATCTTATGACAACATCCATTCTTACCACCTATCAGTATAATTGATTGGCTTTGTGTAGTGATTAAAAAATAATAAACAAAGTGTTGATAAATATAAAATAAATCTTTATATATCAAAATAATACAGAAGGATAAGGTGAAAGTTGAAGTTTCAAGAGTTCAAGTTTAAAAGTATGTATATATATTTAATAATAATATCATTATTTAAAAATATTTTCCATCACAACACAGAAATTTCAGTGTTCGAAACTAAAATTATTGTTCTATTTTCAAACAATTTTCAATAATTTGTCTTATTTGATAAATCCAAAGAGAAATCAAAGTTAAAGTAGAAAAGTGAAAAAATTCATGCATGTCTAGATAAGCCGTCTTGTATTAGACAGGTTACCATTGCTTCCTGTTAAGAATATAAACATGACATATGCTGAAATAATAAAGAGAGGTATATGTATCGAATAATGAGTTAATTTTGGCATTGTATTTTTAAAAATTATTCTTTTAATTTATTCTTTTATTTTTTATAATTTAGGACTGTCTTAAGTGGCCTCTAGTATGATTAAATCATTTTAATATACATTTACTTATTATGATTTAAAATGCAATACTTATTATATTCAATGGTATATTAGATATGGCAATGTTAAAATTGAAAATCAAGGAGTTAATTAAATATTATATGTACCATTATATATAATCAAATAATAGATACATAATAGTTATAATGTATAGATTATTTTAAAGAAAAATCCTATTAGTTATGTTTTAATGTGAACATGTTACAATACCCACAAAAACAGTTTGTTTCATTGATTTAATAAATCTTTATTTTTAAGAAACTTAATAATATATTGCTTTTGATGCTATCCATTGTTGTTGAAGGAAGGAAAATGTTAGTACCATCTCAATTTAAATTTATTTTTTGTGCTACCAATATAAAATTTTTTAGTACCTGGATTTTTAATAGATGAAATAGTACATTGGTAAATTATAGATTCTGTAAGAGATTTATTTTGCAATAGATAATTTATGTGATTTCTACAGTTACATAAACTATTATTAATATGCATTTTGTGTTGGGCCTCATTTTCACTTTTAATCAAAATGTCCTCTAAGTATGTGATCGCACAATCCATACCAGCCAACATTGCGTCCATTATTTGCTGGAATAGGCTTGGAGCTACCTTCAATCCAAAAGTGAAACGATTTAATTTAAAAATCCCTTTATGAGTATTTATTATCAGGTACTTTGAACATTCTTCACTCACTTTAACCTGAAGGTAAGCCTCCGACAAGTCCAACTTTGAAAACACTCTACCACTGTTCAATTTAGTAAATATATCCGCCAGAAACAGAGGGTATGCATGGTCTTTTAAAGAATCATTCAGGCCTGTCGAGAAATCAGCACACACTCTGATTTTTCGGTTTTTCTTTTTTATATAAACGGTTGGAGGCGCCCAATCTGAGTAATCCACTTTTGAAATTACGCCAATTTTTTTCCAACCTTTCTAACTCCTCATTTATTGAGTCTAGTGCCAAAAATGGAACTTTTCTTTTCGGTTTAAAAATTGGTTTCACATTTTCTTTCAACTCAAAGTTGACTTCTGTTTTTGTGCACAGACCTTGTCTTTCTGAAAAAACACGAGGGAATTCATTTTTCAACTCTGTAATAAATTTTTCTGTTTGCTTTGTCTTATAATTTTCTTTGACGTTCACTTGGTTACAGAAAGAATTTACTGGTAATTTCCACAAATTGAATAATACTATCCAGTCTGTACCAAAGAGGTTTACTGAATCAGGGAGCACATATACTTTCGATTTGTGAATTTTTCCCATGAACGAAGTGTTACATTTTAATTCACCTTGAAATTTAAGTCTTTTTCCAGACACTCCTCTGGCAATTTTGTCTGTCTTTGTCAAAGGTGGGTAACAAATTTTTTCCCATGTTAGCTCGTTTATCACAGAGATATCACTTCCTGAATCAAGTAATAATTTTACAGTCTGCCTATTTATTTTTACAGAGGCATTTTCTTCTTTGACCCTCCTCAATTTTGTGTTTAGACAAAACTACATTCGCTTTTGCCTTAGACTTTGGTTTTTCATTTCTCTGTTTTGTCCAACAATGTGAACTTTTATGGCCTACACGCCCACAATTATAACATTTTTTATCCTTAAAGTAGCAATCCTTCTTGCAATGCTGTCCTCCAGAGGCACTGCATATTCTTTTTCTTTCTTTTTGTATCCACTTCTTTTGTCATACAGTTTGAACTCATGAAATGTTCTTCTCCTCAATCTGAGTAGTGTCTTTTTTTTACATTTATCATTCGTTGATTCATTGACATTCTTCAGTTACTTTTTGTAACATAATCTCTGGATCAACAAAGTAATTTTTTCCTCGTCGGACCATTGTATGCACCATTTCGTAAATATTGTTTTAAACCTACGAAAATAAGCCGGAAACGCTGAACCACTGTCAGGGTTGTATTTAAATTCCAAGAGTGAATTTGAAATTCCTTCAGCCAAAAACAATCTAGAACTCGGTTCTTTTGTTGTCCTAAATAATACGTGTTCGAATAACTTTTCAAACCTTTCTTGTTGCTGTAATTGCTGTTTTTGTAGTTGTTGTTGGAATGTTGCTTGTAAAGTGTCTTGTAGCACCTTAACTAATTCCACCATTTGTTCCATTTTGCCAACGTGTTCACCAGAAATTCTGCTCCAATAAACAATAAAATTCTTATTCCAAACAAGAGGGGGGCAAGCGCTTCAGAAGTTTTTCTAACGTTCCTCATCAATAAGCGTTAAAACAATCATGAGTGAAAAATTACTTACTCTCTGTAAGCGTCGAACAGGTTTTTCTAACATTCTTCGTTAGTACACGTTGTCGAATGTATTTTTTTTTCTTTTGTCTTAACTTGTGAGGTTGTTACGAATCTTGTCGCCAACTGATATGTCCCGGAAAGGGATATATTTGAACAAAGTAGCTAAGTGGTTTTGGCTACATAACCAAGTAGAATACGGTAACAGTAATTGACTGGTACGTGTTGTAGTCGCAGGTAAGAAGTGTAGATCAATGGTGTAGTCCAGTGGGTGTCGTTATAGACTTAGCTCTCAGACTAAGGCTCTTTGACTCTCTTACACGTCCATTGGTATTTATGACTGACACCAGCCAATCATATTCCAGTGAGGGGGAACACAGGTGTACGCATATTCCATTACATCATATATATATGTGTGTGTGTGTGTGTGTGTGTGTGTGTGTGTATGTGACACTATTTAGCTATGGTAATTGATTAACTAATTAGCCATAGAAATTAAACAAGAAAATACTGAGAACGGAAAAGTTTAAAAAAGGATATCCCGAACAATATACCATTGATATAAAAAGATTTTACTTTAAAAAAAAGTTGCTTTTCTCAAGAAACCAAGGATTTGCATCAATGATAAGTTCACAGAAAGGCAATGTGGCGAGATTTGACAATTGATTAATGATGATTGTAAAAATACTGGTTAAGAAAACACAAGAACCAGGGGTATCGAAGATATCATTCAAGAGTGCAAAGATTTTAGGAGTCAACCAAGCGACAAAGCCATGTGTTAATTGTAAGAATTTTGGCATAAGAAGATATTCCAAAAGATATGCCATTCAATATAAAAAATTTTATTTTTACTTTTCTCAAGAAACTGAGGATTTGTGTAAACAGTAAATTCACAAAAAGGCCAAGTGGCGAGCTTTGAAAATTGATTGATGATGTTTGTAAAAGTACTGGTTAAGAAAACACAAAAAGCGTCGAAGATATCATTCGAAATTGCAAAGATTTTAGGAGTTGGCCAAGCGACAAGGCCATGTGTTATTTGTAAAATGAAAAAGGGAATTTCATAAACAAAATTCCAGTTTATAATTCTGAACTGAGAAATCCTGAATAAGCAGGAATGTCAAAGAGTTAATTAATGAAGCAAGCTTAGCCACACCCGCATGACTGAGACACCATTGAGACTTCCAATCCAAGCACCTGAGCACCGTCTTCAAGTTGCTCCAGATCCTTGCTTTCTAGCTGTCTTACCCGTTCTGTGGGTGCCACACTGTTGTTGATGTACACATTGTCTATGTATGCTGACATCGCCTGTTGAACAGTCACATCTCTGGATAGAACAGCCTCCACAATCAACTGCATAATGGAGGGGGCTACGTTCAATTTAAATCCCATCCAAGTTAGGCAGTATCTTCGCCCTCTAACCATCACAGTTTGGAAGGGCCATAGAGAACGGTTCACCTGCACCTGAAGGTAGGCTTTTCTTAAGTCCAACATCGACATGTCGGACCCCTTCTTACACCAGTCTCTCAGTTTTTGAGAGCACATATTGGTGCATGCCATGTACACTTCCACATCATCATTTAGTTTGTGGTAATCCATAACAGGTTGCATTTTTCCTTTGTTAGGCTGAACAATTGCCATTAGCGGGATCAAGCCTCTTGGGGGGGCCGAGCTCCTTCTCCGGGTATGGTATCAGCCATCCGTTATGAATCCAAGTC